TTTCCTAGCGTTCAGAGTTAGACAGGATCTATTTCTGAAAAAGAAACAGTTTTACTTTCAATTTCTTTACTAGGTTTTCGACATGGAGCTTAAGAGAGATGTGAATCGACCAAGATACCCATGTAGATATTTATAAGAATCTACTAACTCAAAAGGAACACCATCCGAAGATAAAACAGAAGGAAGGACTTCTGGACCTTCGAACTTCCTGTTTGAAAACAACATCCCTTTGGTTTTATCAGCATCTAGCACAAGTTTGAAACAGAACAAATCTGACTGGATGATGTCGAGCTGAAAACCTTAACTGGACAATAAACAACGATGTCACTGGCATAGAAATGTAAGGAGGCATCAGGAATGACCTGACCTACATTACTTATGTAGATTGTGAAGAAGGTGGGTCCTACGACTGAACCTGGTTCTAGTGTTGGGCACAACATGTTTTACATTTTTTCTGTAGACATTATAAATGTGATATGAGGAACTTGCCAAGCAAAATTACACAAAAAGAAAAACAAACAAAGAGTAGTAAATATGTGTAACAGGTCATCAGGGCATAATAGCCAAAATTATGCTACAATATGTTTTTAATATACATTTCCACACAGTGGATCATCCTTTGTGGATCTTTCATTGTCTGCAATTAATAACCCGGATTTTAAGTTTTGACTTGAGTTCAAACTTTGTTCAGGCTTTTTAACATGTGTATGCACAATTATTTATTTATTTGTATTTATCTATGTATTTACTGTTTGTTTAATGTGCCATTAGAAAGCTTTCTTGAACAGCTGTGATCCTAACTCTTGTCATGCTGAGAAAATTCTCCGGGAAACTTTGACTAAAATCATTACCAGGACTCTCCGACGCCTCTGAACGCCGCATGTCTTCAATGAAATCCGATGTTTACGTTCGTCGTCATGGTGATGGTGTCGGGGGCGGTTCGTTTCTTTGGCTCGTGACGTTACGAGTGCGGTGTGAACCAATCACAGTCGTTGTTCCGCAGCCGGACTGACGTCATCGTTAAAGCAAAATGAGCCATCCTGCCCGTTACTCGGTTCCAAACTGAACAGCTGCAAGATGACGGAGGACGCGGCTACAGCGCGTGGCTGATGAAAGCCCGGAGGTGTCGTCCGGCCGCCATCATTCCTCACCCGCCTCTGCTGCTGAACAGCGTCTGAAGACAGGGGGCACCGACCATCGGGATGATCTCCAACTAACTGCGGGGTGAGTGGATGCAGTTACACCACCCTGATGGGTGCGCGCGCACACCTCTCACTCTGTCATGAAACTAGTAAATACGTCCTCACCGACTGGAACACTTTTAAAGCCACAAGCGGATGAAACGTGACAGCAGAACAAGTCGTTTAGGTGAAGTGTGCTGAAAATAAGGGCTGGGCCCCTCAGATATACTCGGTGTAACCTTCATGCGTGAGCAGGAGAAGTGCTGGGGTGGTTTAAAGGTCCTGTTTGTCCCGGTGAACTGTGCAGCAGCTGCCGCATGGTCCTGCCAGCTGCTGCACAGTTCACCGGCTCTTCATGATGCTCAGGAACTCTGTGGTGAGCTGCCGCTCATCCAGCAGCTTCAGGGTCGAGAAGTTACGGGTCTCATGTCCTCTCCGCCTCTTCCACACACAGCAGTCCTGCTTTCAGCACCAAGCAACGCTGCTGGCGGGCGATAGCGTTGTCTCCGCGCTGCAGCTGCAGCTGGGCTCGAACCTGCTCCTTTTGGCTCAGGGCAGCATCACAGCACGCGGAGCACCTCACCGTCTCCTGTCCGTGTAACGTTAGACCCGCTTCAGTCTTTTTCCACTGTCCTCACCAGCACACGTCAGCTGCAGGGATGTGTTTCACACAGGACTGCTGCACATGTGGCCAAAACAAACCACTTTACTGAAATACAGGCAGCCATGATTCTATCAGTCAGGCCTCTCTTGTGAATGAGTCCCCGCGGCTCAATGACACTAACCTGTATAAATAAAGGTT